CATTGTTGTTCTTATAATTTAATATGTAGCTTTTTATTTTATTTCTTTTTTTTTTTATCTATCGTTAGATTTGTCAGTGGCTATTATATCCCTGCTGTGTATTTTACCCTGCGCTTCCGTCTGGTTGTCGAAGTATTGTTTATTTTTCGTCGAAAATTCTGGTCTACTTTTTTTTTCAAACATCTCCCCTGATACGACCATGCTCTAATTTTTTCCTCCAAGTTAGTAACGCAATTAAGAAAAGAAACAAGTGAGCTTGCGGTTTCGGAGCTGTGGAAGTGCCACGCGGTTTCGGTTTTTCTTTCACGAACGAGTGAAATCAGTTTTGCTCCCGAATTTGCACGCCTTGTACACTATGCTCGAAAAGAGAGAACCGAAAAATTCAATGCCAAAAGTTTAATTTATTTATGATAAAAAAAAAAAAAATTTCCGTCGTTTTTTTTTTCATAGAATGGAGCGCTCATTTCACGACTTTACCTCGCGGATTTATTGCACCAGTCCCTCTGTCATAAACAAATCAAAACAATATATGTAAAGAACAGCAATCCAATGACCTTTAATTGATCATCATATTGCACTTTTAGTGTCAGAATCCAGCAAACTATGTAATTAAAAATTATTTTGTGTTATTTTTTTTACTACTTTAAGAAAAGTTTTACCGAATAAAAAACAGTTTTATTTAACCAATAACAATTCAACAAACAAAAGTATTGTACTGATCACTTTAAATTGGACCAACTAAGCTGTGTAACAGTCATGATCTTTCCTCCATCCACAATAGATTAATAATTTCACTTAAAAGTTTTTAGATTATGAACAGAAAACTTTTCCCAATGCCAGCTGATACGTATAATTAGAGCCAAAAAAATTTTTAGTTAAGTACTTAGTTTTTTTTAATAAATATAATGATAAATAAAACAACACATTTTTCATAAACTGAATTGTTTCTTCAGCAGAAAATTACTAGATCATGCAACACCACTTAGTTGGTAAGAATTTACTTTTTTTTCAACAAATCCCTACAATCAGGTACGCTTAAACAAAACGATAACAGAACCGATTTTTTTCCCCTCTTTACACAGTTAAAAATAGAAACGTCATCGGGACTTTTCGCGAGTCATCATCATAGAAAGTAGCGACAAATGTGCGCAATGTAGGTAATATTGTCTCGCTCCCCCCTCATTCCCTAGCCCCTATCCTCCCTCATATTGTGTTCTCGTCGATCATTAAATTCAACTATTTGGTATAATCTGATCAGTTTAAGTATTGCAGGAACTATTTTCGCTTGACACTGTGAAGCTGCTTATGCATCGGTTTGTATAGGTTATTTTTTTTTCTCTGTGTTATTATCATTATTATAATTATAATCCTGTATATGTATATAGTACGAGCGAGACTCCAGACGCGAAACATTGTTCCCCTGTAAAAGTCGTAAGAAAATAGTGTCAGTGTATATAAAGAGCATTCAAACAAATCAGCGTATCAACACCGGTTAAAAAGCTTGTCAGTCAACAAGTTGCACCTCAATAGAGGATCATATTATTAATATTATTATTATCATCGATATTATTATTACTATTATTATTATTATCATAGTATAGTGTAAAAAATGTAAAAATTCGCTCGGCGATCGGGAGTCACGCTCGTTTTTGCGGTTCCAGTTTGCGCTGAGTAAATATTTTCAAGTATATGCAGTCGACGGAGAATAATCGGGGCGAGTTTTCTTCCTTCTATTTGCTCAAAACTACTGTAACTGTTTTTTTCCCTTTTTTTTTTTTTTTTTTTTTTTTTATTCATCATGTGTACGTGTGAGCTTCATACGACTAAAAATAAGGCTTAAAAGATAAATCGATCCCATGAAAGCAGAAAACATGTACAAAATAAAATCCACACACGTCCTGAAGAAGCACGGACTAAAACCGAATTTCGAGAACAAGTGCCGTGCATCCTCCGCCGTGACATGAGAACGAAAAAAAAAACGCGTGTATTAAAAAATAAAAAAACCACGATCGCCAGACGGGGTCCATAAAAGTAATAATACGCATAATAATGGACGAATGTACAAAACAAAAAAAAAAAAAAAAACAAAAAAAAATTAACGGTCGCGCCAATAATGATAATAATGATGATTAAAAACACCATACGCAAGTAATCAATGAATGAAGTATACAATATAGCGATAAGCCTAATAGTAATAATAGAGCAGGGCCTCGGGTGTAAGAAGATCGTCGTGCTTGTTACCCTGGCGATGCGATTTCAGTCTTGTCGTGTAATCGGCAGCCTCGGCGACCTCCGTCTCCGCCACCAGTTGCAGCTCCTCTTTGTCGTCGTTGGCGCCGATCTGGTGCCGTTGCAGCTCGTGGTCCCGCCCTTGCGGCGGCAGCCAGTCTCAATCGAGCTGCTCGCAAATTCGCCGGCGCAGCAGCTGCTCCTCCTCGGCGCTGATCCCTTCCTGGTGCTGATGCTGCACCAGAAGGTGCGGCCTCGTCAGCGAGAGGGCAAGGGGCGAGCGGTCGCTCGAGTTGCTCGACCGGCTGGACGGCCGCTGGGGGTGCTGCGAGTGCTGCGCCGAGGGCGTCGACGATGTCCTTGCCGGTGGCGCCGACGTGGGGAGTAGGTGGCCATTGCTGCGGGGCCGCGACCGACTGCGCGAACGACTGTGCGAGCGCGAGACCCGCCGCGACCGGCGGCCCAGCTCGCAGTCGGCCTGCTGCTGTTGCTGCTGGTGCTGCTGAATCAGGTGTTGCATCATCGGCACGTGGTAGTTGGCGAACTCGGGCGGAAAATAGAAGGGATGCGCGGCCGGAGGCACCGAGGTCGGGGTAGTCGCCGGGGCACCGACCTGGTGCTGCTGCTGCACCGAAGGAGCGGGGGGTGGTGAAGGAGCATGCGCCCGTCCAGCCCTGGCGTGCGAGCGCTTGCCGTTGATCTGTTGCTGCTGCTGGTGCGGATGGTGGTGTTGCTGTTGGTGTTGCTGGGCGCGCTGGAGGTTGACATTGTTGTTGTTCTCGAGCTCGATGAGATCCCTGAGCTCATCCAGCCTGAGGCTCTTGCCGTACTTGCCGCGCACGTACATGAGCAGGCTGTTGTAGGGTATGCTGAAGGTCCGGCTGGCCTGGCTGGTGGTCATCTTCTTGCCCCAGACGTGCCTCAATGCGTTGCAAAGATCGTAGTTGGTCCAGCAGCGCGGTGGGCCGCCACGGGGGGCGCTGTGTTGGCCTTTGGCGCGGCGCGCGTGCCCACCACCTGCAGCATCCAGCTCGGACTGCTCGGCGTGCCAGCGGCGGGCGTAACCCTCGCTGTGCCGCCGACGGCCCGACTTTTTCGGCCTACGGTTCGGTGTTCCGGAGATCGGTTGCTCCTGCTCGCTGAGCATACTCGGCGTCACCATCTGAGCCGCTCCCTGGGGCGTGGCTAGCTGCAGCTGGGCCTGACCCTGCGGACCGACGGCGTACAAGCTCTGGATAAAGTTCTCCGGCACGCCGGGATGAAAGAACACGGGTTGTTGGCTGAGCCCATCCACGTAGGGGGCAGGCAGGGGCACGAGGGGCGGTGAGGCGCCCGGGTAGCCCGCACTAGCCGAGTAGGGCTGGGCAGCCGTCCGAGGCTGTTGTGGTTGGGGTGGTTGCTGCTGTTGCTGGCCTGCAGGGGCGTCACTCGGGTGGCGTGGATGGACGCCACTCATGTGTTGGTGCTGCTGCTGCTGCTGATGGTGGTGGTGATGGTGGTGGCCCTGCGACTGGGCCGGGCTCCACTGGGACACCAGCTGGTTTATGCTGTTCAGGTACTCGTTGGGGTGGTGCATCGGTGGCGAGAGTGGGACTCCAGCTGCGCTGGTCTGCAGTCCGCTCGCGGGGTATTCGAAGCTCGGGCTCGGGTGGGGCTGGTGAGCCGTGCGGGGCGTGCTCGGACAGCTGCGTGGCTCCTCACCCTCTGACTTGACCGTGGGCTGGGCAGACCTCGATGAGGAGCGTGATCGTCCCGAGTCCCTGTTCATCGAAAGGTTCTCGGCCTCCTCTTCCAAATCCTCGGATAGGTGTTGTTGGCCGATCGGACTCGAGCGATGCCTGGACTGGTCCGGGCTGCTTCTTTGGGGGCTTTGCTGATGGTGGTTCAAACCGAGATGGCCGACCTCGAGGTTGACCACGTGCTTCGAGCTGCTCAGGTCCTGAGGCCCGTCCTCACCGGAGCGCCTCCTCGGTCGGGCCTGTTTGCGCCTGGGCATTAGATTCGCAGCGACGTTCTCGGAACTGCTGTGGTGATGGTGATGTTGGTGATTGGTACCAGGCCTTGGGAGTGACGCTGTTTGCTGGTCCCTGGGGCTCGCATGCGCGTCACGCGTGGTCAATTGGAGGGGACTCGAGCCGTCGGAGGAGTTGATCGCGCCGTCCCTGTCCATTTTTGTGATCTCGCTCGTGTGCTCCTCCTTGGCTTCTGTCGGGGAGGCTGCGTTCAGTGGTTCCGGGGATCCAATGGTCACTGGGCCATTGAGCCTAGCCAGGTGCTCGTTTATCAGGCGCACGAGGCCCTTGACCTCGAGATTCTTTGCGATCGCCAGGATTGAGGCCATGTTTTCGCAGTTGACAAAGACCTCGCCTCGGTACATGAATGACGCGATGATGCTCAGGTCCTCTTTGCTGAAGTCTTTGAGCACAACCATCGCGTGCTCGTCGGATTCGTATTCAGCAAAGATGCGCGCGAAAAATGGACTACAACAGATATACAAGCGTTTCTTTAACAAAACAATCAAGATTTTCACATGGAAAGGGTTGAGGAAAGAAAATTAAAAATAGACGTTCAATGAAAAAAAAAAAAAAAAGATATTGAAGTTGTAAATTCAGAGTATAAGGATTCGGGCTTTTGTTACCAAAATCGTGGAAAATAAGAATTTAAGTGAAAGACCGTGTATCCATTCTGACACTAAATATTTACATGGCCCAAATTTTGTTTAAAATAAAAGATACCAAGAGTTAAAAATAGAGTAAGAGAGTAATAGAGCTTTAAAAGAGTATTGAGAAATTGATTTCTGTAACAATTATATACAAATGTTGAAACGAAAAATATTGGAATAACAAAGGGTGGGGGACGAAAAATAAAAAAATAAGAGACAACACTGGCACCTGATAGCAACAAATTATAAATGTTAAAATACATAATTGAAGGGCAGTTAAAAACACAAAATTATTAAAGATTTGACGAGTGAAGTTTAGACAAACGGCTTCAAAAGACCAAATTTTCTCTGCCTGAGAAAAAAAACGAGGCACTAGACTCTGCAGGTTAGTTATGTCGATGAAATTAAACATTTTTAACCACAGACAAAAAGAGGACAACTCGGATTTTTCAGCTAAAAACGGGGGGAAACTTAACTCTAGAACAAAAAAGTACCGTTCGCAAACGACTGATTGAAAAGAAACGGATCATTTGAAGCATGACCATTAACAATTCAGGGTAGCTTAGTAAGAGGACAAATACAGTTAAGCCCTAAATATATGAATAAATGAAAATCTGCTTATACATTACACTATTATAATGCATGTAGATTTGATACTAGAGTCATGAGCTTTTAGGTATCTTTTTTTAGTATATTTTTTAGTATTTCCCTATCATTTTGTCATTATTTACACGTGACCCACAACTACCTTAATTCAATTTTCTATTCATATTATTAATGGAGATGAATGAAAAAAACACGTTCATTCACACGAAAGCTTTGTAAAAAAAAAGCAGAAAACCACCGACCTGCAGGTGCTGAGGACGATTTTGTGGGCCTTGATGATGCCGTCTAGGCAAACAAGAGTCACGTCGACGTAGGAATCGTGACGAAACTGCTCCTCGAAGGACTGAACGAAGTTGGCCGAGTGGTTGTTCCACTTGAGCGAGTAGTTGTCCAGCTCGTTGGCAGCGCTGTCCTCGTCGGGACTACCGGTTCTCATGCTGAGACTCGGCTGCTCGAACATCGTGTGGGCCACACTTTGGCCCGACTACTTTTCTCTCCGTTTTCTTGTTATTATTAATTTTCGTTTAATTCTTTTTTTCTTCTTCTTCTTATTTTATCTTCACTTCGATGTCGATTGTTTAGCGGTCCACCGCCATCGGCATCCTCTCCTCCTCCTCCTCCTTCTTCGCTGGGCCGCGCGATTTTTGTTGATCTCGCCCACCCGTCGCACTTTTAGCCCACCGATTTCTTCTTCCGAGTCGTAATTAACGTCGACCTTCTGCGAACAAATCGTTTCGTTCATCTAACTTATTAGTGTATCATACGTGATTAACACTTTGTACACAATATTTTATGATTTCAAGTAACGTGAAACAAAAAGTCTTATTAATCTTAAACCAAAGAAGAAATAAAATGAATCAAACCAACAATCATAACATCGAAATAACAATAGTAATCATAAAAACTACACCCCCAATGTTACCAAGCGACAAGCTTTAATAATAATACACAGCAGCCGCAGCACCGCGTGGCTCGAAGAGCGTGAAAGAACGAGGAACACGTAAATCTTGAATGTAGCATCGCGCTGGCGATGAGGGGAGATAGTTTCCTCGAGGTGCGAAAAATTAAAGGCTTGCGTCAGCACGGGTGCATATTCAGAGAGACAATAGACAAAGTGCGCCGCGGCGATGATTTAACGGATCGTAATTACAGGTGCGCCGAGTGTCAATTTTCGCGGGTACGAGGCACACAAAGTCACGGGAGAGGGGGAGGGGGGAGGGACGATCGAGGGAAGCCAAAAGGGGGATGAAGAGATCGTCGTCGAAAGTGCACGCGCGCGCGCCGGCGAGTGAAAGCGAGAGCGTTTATATTTCGCCGTATGGGCACAGGGAGGGAGCGGAATATCGCTCCGAAGCTAGAGAGAGAGAGAGGTGAGTTGGGTTGTATTATATATGTGCCAGTGTGAGACTATCGTCGCTCCGAAACGCGGAAAACTTGCTGGGCAACGGCGCTTAGGACGATCATTGGGATGATGTCTATACTTGCTGGTAGTTTTTGCTAGGCTACATTGGATATATGTACAAGCGAGAGGAGGAATTTCATCGCAGTCGTGTAGTTGTGTTTTCTCCGACACAAGTGCAGTCTTGAGTGCTTTGGACTTGATTCGGGGGTGGGTGAAATCTCATTCATGAGGATTTTGTTGGTTCATGCAGAGTCACGTGGTGTGAAACGAGGGTGGGGGTTTGGAAATTCGCTAATTTACATTGTTATTGATCGTATGTAATTTTTATGTATTTTCACTTTTACAAAAAATAACGCGCAATGTCATTACTACTAATGTCGTGTAGTAAGAAAGGCATTATGGACTTGTGATTTGTTGTGGGCTTACGATGGATGAAGGTGACTTGAACGTATGGATTGTACAATTACTTGTAGTTATTTAAGTAATATTGCAAAAAATCAAAGATAACTAGTTAGAAATTTCATGGAATTTTACGTGACAGAATATTTCAACATAATTTTACGTGACAGTCTGCTACATAATTTCTAAATTATTTATTATACGAACAAATCCTTCGTCTTACATGAAATAAACGTGAATACGCTGTAAGCCACTGTACTTTTAATGTTAATTATCGTTGTTGACTTTTTTTAACAATGCTGCGAAATATTTTTACATTTTAATGAGTTTCTTTTCAGATTCTCATGCATCCGGTGTGTGTGTATATGCGTATGTGGTGGCACAAATGTCAATGTGATTTCTGGAATTCGCGTAAAATAATTTTACCGCCGTTCTCGGAAAAAACATCGTGAATGTTTTTTTTTTTTTATGCCCACAAGATCGCTGCAATTTTTAATCGCCTTTTTTTACTGACCAATTATTTACGCTGATAATTATAATTCATCGTATTAGTTGTAAAAATAATAAGTTCTCACCCACACGATAAGAATTGAAAATCATGGTTTGAATCAATGAAAATTTCGACAGCTCCAAAAGTAAAACCTTATTGCTGATAAAATATACAATTGAATATTTTTACTGTAAAATTTTTGCTTCAGCTCCCACCAAGACTATTGACTAATATTCATCTTTGTTTTCATTGTAATTATAATTGTTCAATATCTAATTCTTGAAAAAATTGTTAACTTTTTCACAGTCTTGCCATGATTACCCATCAGTCATTGTAAATGAACGTAAATTGCTGAACTGTCATAATCTATCCTCTCATAACATTTACAAAGTTTAATATGCTACGGTCAACCTCGAATATGAGTCTTAAGCCTCTTTTAAGTAATTTATCGCGCAATATAGTAATCGATACACCAAATGAGAATGTAATATTTTCAGAGTAGACTGAGTAAAAAAATTATCAGACACATGATTAACCAGCTCAAACATCCCGAAAAAATTTACAGAATGTCCATCTCTAATTAGGTGAAAAAGCTAAGTATTCATGCACGTTGGTATTGAAAAAAAAAAAAAAAAAAAAAAAAGGATTTTGTGTTCTCTCCCTTCGCAACACACACCCCCGCGTTTGCGTAAGCTCAGAGTCGTCGAACTTTGTTGTCAAACTGACACGTGGACGCATCCAGCGCTCAAATAAAAAAAAAAAGCTCGGCGTACGGCACCACACACGGGTACACTTTTGGACGACGCGCGTGCAAGTCGAGCTTTCGTAACTCATCGCGGAAAGGGGAAAGTGAGGGATTGTTTTTTTTTTGTTTTTTTTGAAATCGCAAATTCAATCGACGCCACGCCGACGGGGACGAAAAAACGCGCGTTTTAATGAAGCCCCGCTCGTTAGCAGCTTCGGTAATAGATAAACACGCGCGAACGTACATAAGCCGCGAGCACACGAAAGTTTCAACGCGTCGGGGAAGGGGGAGGGGAAACAAAAAACGCGCAACTTTGTCCCCTGGATTTTTCCAACGCGTATCGCTGTGCATTGAATTTCACGCCGGTACGATGCATTTGATCAAATTAATAAACTCCAGCCTCGGGGGATCGGTTTTTGTACACGATACCGCGTATATAGATGTGTCTATAATGCCAGTGTCGTGTTTACGAGTTGATTGGAAATCTCCAGCATCGGGGAAACCCGAACAGCTCTCCTCCCGTTAGTGAAAAAATACACACTCGCCAACTCTTACGAGTTACAACGCACAAATCTACTATGTATACGCTGCCCGATTGATCTCCTGGGGTGGCATAATAAGCCCCGTCGTCTCGCGTTTCCTCATCCCGTGTACTCGTACATCTGTATCACTCGCGACAAATATTACGCGTTTACGTTTGTGCTCTCGCCGCAGCCTCGAGAAACTCGATCTGTCCGATTGTGTACAGCATACATGTATCATATTTTTCTCCTTCTTTCCGATTTCGCGTAACGCGATACTGCCGCGACGGGTGCCGCTGTCACGTGCGGGGATGCTGGGACCACGTAGCGCGCCAAAACGAGGAGTATAGGTGCGCCGGGGGGTAGCGAGAGACAGAGGGGAAAGTGCGTGATGGCTCGCCACCCCCATTTGCTCCGCGTTTGAGGATCAGCTGATTCTTTGGCGATCGAGCCTACCGAACGATTTTTCTTCGGGGATCAGGTACTTTGCTATGAATTTTTAATAAAAGGCTATTCTGTGACGTCGCTTTCTTTTTTACTGAGCGTCTGTGAAATTAATCGATTTTTTAATACCGATGTGTGGATTTGTAGAAGATTTACTTGAATCTACTGTACGATAACTTATTTTTCTTTTATCGCCCAGTAGAAATCATTATGACTTACAATATATGTTGCACCGATTTTGTTTGAACTGTGATACGCGCTTTGTGTATTATTTGGTATACAAATTTTTCATAATGCAATGATTACTCAGCTTAAAGTCCACAATAACAATCGTTGTGTTTGAGTTAGATGAAATGTGATTTGATCAATATTTTCGTACGAATTGTAAATGTTTAGTCGACTACTTGACACAAGAACAATAAAATCAATGTAAACAAAGAGAGTAAACCTGTGGATATTTCGCTCAAAGTTCCCAATTCGTTATCTCAAGCAACGCCTTGTCGTACCGATTTCTACACAATGATCCCGATTCATGTCATGTACCATCACCACAGGACAACCTGTCACGGCTAAATGAGCGCCAAGCAAGCAAGTATATAATCTCTAAAACTCACTGTTATCGGCTGCATCGGTCAGCGCTTGTCGGGCGCATCTTCCTACAGCCCCCGCTGCACCTCACGTGTTGTCTGCTTCGCACGTGTCTCGCAAAATCATAAGTTCCAAAAGAAAAAAACAACAACCAAACTACACACTTTTTCTTTCGTTTTCCTTTTTTACTCGGACAAATAAACAAATGAAAAAAAAAAAAAAAAAAAAGTATCACAAATGAAAACGATCACACTGTCGCACCTCGTGCTCCATTCGATCACTTTTCACGTCCCGAAACTAGCCACTGAGCGAGTAGTCAGTATCGCTACGATTTTGACGCACATTTCGACGACCTCCGATCGCAATCTGCATCCGTGCGATTTTACATGTGCGTGCGATCCACCGATTTTCCAGTGTCGTCGTGGCAGTGGTGTGTACAATCAGTGCGAACTTGTCGTGGACACACTTGCAGATAAAGACAAACCACCAAAACTACTTTTTCTTGTATTTTTTTTAAATTTTTGTCAAGAAAAAACAAGGAAGCAAAAAAAAAAACTCAAAAAAAACATTCGCCAGTAGACAATAGCGATCGGCGCTCGGTACTCTGCTCGTACTCGAGCCTACACAAACAATATACAAGATAAAAAAAAACAATAACGAGACTTTTAAACGGATGCTGCTCCGTGCAACGTCCGTCTGGTGGAGCAACGGCAGCACAGCAGCAGCCGCTCCGTGGAGTGTGTGCAGTCAGACTAACACCGTACGTGCGCGCGCGAGGCTTGCGGCGCCCGGTGAGTGAATGCGCCCGTGACGTCGACCGCCCCTCTTTGGCTTTCCCCTCCCTACCTCTCTCTATTTCGTCCCTTCCCCTCCATCGCTCTAGCGCCTGCCTCCCTCGCTGTCTCTCTCTCTCTCTCTCGACTCCTTGGCTGCTCCCCCGCATGTAGGGGTAAATGACCCAATTACTGCGCACTGAAATTTTTGATTGTACTAAATTTCTCATTTCTCA